TTTTATATTGTTTGTGTTGTTTTTGAAGGGTTATTTGTTGTTCTTTTTCTTCTTTTTTTTTTGGGGGGGTGGTGTTGTTGCTTGGTGTCAATAAGAAAAGGGCGTGGTCATGCATGAGTTTTTTTCAAAAGGCGAAAGGAGCAGGGGGAAAAGGTGGCGTGGCTAGTGCGAGCCCGTGCCCCTCACTCAAGCACAAGACCGGGGTGTAGGGGTGGGCAGTGGGCGGCATGCGGGTGCTGGGTGGTCACCTCTGACCGAGTTGGCCCGACTCAGACCTCCGGCTGACCGCTGGTCACTGATGCCTGTGGTCTTCAGTTTGGACTTGGCTACAGAGGCAGAGACGGACAACGTGGTGTTAGAGAAGAATATTATGTATATATATCGTGTATGATAGTTTGGTAAATGAGGCATAACTGTAGCACGGACGTAGGCGCCTGGTGGTAAATACATAATATATATATAATATACATGACATAATATATGTACAATGTATACGATGCATTTAGTTCAAGTAGATACCTCCATCATCTGACGCCTGTACACAATGCATACATTAGCGCTGGAAAAGAGCTCCTGTTTGTTTGTTTGGTTCAGTAAAGAGCTAGAAGCACAATTGAAACGAGCAAGACCGAACATGATACAGAAATGAAAGGAGAATGGTGCAGAAACAGAAGCGTCATGAACTGCATTTCCGCAGGGTACTACATTTATACCAATCAACTAAAAGTAAAAGTAAAGCTGCTACCTGACCAGTCAATTCGTAGACACAATTAAGCCCTTTATTTTTCTTATGACCCATACCAGGCCTCTACGGCCCACAATATCATAGACCCTATATCATCGCATTAAAAAATATAATGGAGGGAGGGGGGGGGCGCATAGACTGAAGTTCATCAACAGGTGGTCATGGTTATTACCTTCACTTACCGTGGGTACGCTAAAACAATATCTGTTTATTTGTTTGAATACAAAGAAGCACATTGACAAAATAACGAAAACTTACCTAGTTATTGTTGAGAATATTTTAAAAAAGACAGAAACAGAAGAAAATTGGTAGAGAAGTAGGACCTGCACCAGCGGCGCACTCCCTCCAACCACCCATTCACTGCATGTTTGTTGGGAGTAAATACAAGAAGATTCATTGACACATCAATGTATGTGTTCTTCTGGTGCATACAACAAAGACAAAGTCATACAGAAAGACACACACAGAGCCAGACAGGCAGGACGGAGGGACAGAAAAGAAGTAAGACCTATCAGTAGTACTAATGGCGCACTCATTCATTGTATTGCTTTAACTTAGAACTTTTACGCCCCTTTCAACACTGTAAGGTCACTCAAAAGACCACACGACAGAATTTAACGCCCATCTCCGATACGACTGGACCAAAACAACCCACGTTCGAACGCCCCGCCCCGCTGAGGGTTCGAGTTCGAACCAGGGCCATCCGCTCAATAATCCAGCATACCGACTGAGCTTTCCCCACTCACTTCTACATAAAACAGAAAAATCAAAGACCGGGTATACACGGTTTTTGGTAATATATTGTAACGCGGGACACTGTCACCTGGTTGCTCTACCCACCCAACTTAGTTAGTAAGCAGGACGTCAGGTTCACCTTAAGCCTACGCCTAATCTAATGCAACATTACATACATGTATAAACATAGATTGCATGAGGCGCTGACATTAACCTAACAACCCATAGCCACTTAACACACCCAGTGTTCAGCTGTGGCTTCGCACATTGCAAAATTATCCGCTAGCTGTTACAGTGCAAAGCTGAGAAAGCAAAATTTTACAGAGAAGTTTGTGTGGGGTGGGTGGGG